TTGCGATGTCGTATTCCGACCTCGCCGGAACCCGAATTGCTCCTCGGGGATGAGTTTCATCCTATCTTCCAGGCGGAGAAGTCTGCTTAGGATGATTTTATCAATAACCTTCGCGACCGAACTGAGAAGCGAGATCGGTCGGTAGCTATCAATACGTGTTTTGATTTTTCCTGGTTTCGGAACGGGCACTACCACCGCATGTTTCAGACAATCTGGGTAATGCTGGTGCTTGATTATTGCGTTCACAATATGCACCAGTTGTACGATACCCTTTCGCGGTAGGTTGCGGAGCAGAACTGCATCAATTCCATCAATGCCTGGGGCTTTGTTTTTCCCCAGGCGCTTGATGTTCAAAATGATTTCTTCTACGTCTGTGATCCACTTTATCAATGTTTGCTCCGGTATAATTGGAGCCGGCCTATTTCTGACTTCATTAGCCAGTCTGGTTTTATTGGTGTGTTCTTCACAGACATACGGTTCAACTCGGTGCACGCTGGAAAAATGAAAATGCTAAAAATAATTTTCATTTCATTTGAAAAGTGATTGGCTGTTTGCTGCATATTTTGAATATTATTTTTTTATAACGATATCTATATTGAATGAAGTTTTTCATTTGCTACACAAACATGATGCTACATTTCACATATAGATCGTAGTATGCTATACTCTAGATCTAGATGAATATCCAAAAAATGTATTTCCTCTCAACTGAACCAACCTTGCGGTATTCCATTCTGGAATCATCTCTCAATTTTGATACGAAAATTATATATACGAACATTGTATGATACTGAACCAGACGGTTCTATCATAACAAGTGTTGGTGTTTTCTCGTACATGATTAGTAGTCGAAAATTGGCATGCTTAACACAATGTTGTATGTAATTTCCATACGGTCGTCATAGTATTTCTAATTACGATCTACACATGTTTGTAAAGAGTATATTTTGAAATTAATTGCTTTTTTTTTCTAAGGAAAAGCACGTTGCCCGCATTTTTTTGCTTGAAGACGTATCACTTAATGTGATGAAACAAGGAAGTCAGTTCATGCTATATTGTCTCATATTTGCGAATATTAAAGACGAACTTAAGACTCGATTTCTGAATTTCATCTATACGAATTATGCCATTTTGGTCAAAACGTGGCCCATAAAGAACACCGCTTATCATTTTTCTGACTGATTGTGAAGGTGTCTGAAAAAATGAGTCGGATATGTAGCCAGTGATTTCACCTCTAGGCTGTGGTAATTAATTTTTTTGGATTTTAACTCTCATTATAATTACTCAACAAATTGTGTTCAGATCGTTACTTATTTGATAACACCTGTGAAATGTGCTGATTGATAATGAAAGTGTCCTTAAAATATTCTGGTAAGGTTTGAAACTGACCTTCATCAAGATTACCAACTCCTTCCATAAATGAGCATGTAAAATGTCGATGAACATTCTATTACTTTGAAATTCATATTTATATTATAAATATATTATTTTTCATAATTATATCATAGACGATAGAACTTTTGTCTTGTAGTGAAAATAGGTTTATGGAATGTGTGAGAAGTAGGAATTCAAAATGAAACCTTTCTTCAATATATAGAGAAAAAATTCGATTTTCCGATATACATGAACAATGATGAGCATGAGTAATAAGTTCTATTTTCATCGGTACTAATTACTTCTAAAATCGTGAATTTCCGAAATGAAAGCTGGATTGCAATGTAAACTGGAGATTCTCGAGGAGAATGAAGATCAAATACAGCATTAAATGCTGTCCTGGGTGTAGTATAGAGTGTATTGCAGCTGATAGCCGTTACTCTGAAATTGAAGCTGATGGACGATCACAGTACAGAAAATATATGCAATTCGAACATATACTAGCTGTTAGACGATTAGATTGACAAAAGGAATACTGCAGTTATAAAGTGGGTAATATTAAGCGTTGCACTATTTGTAGGGTAAACCGAAAAAGTATAAACGTTAACACAAGAAGAATATACATATATTTCAATATCAAAATGAATTTAAGTTACATCTTGGATGTTCAATTTGACTTCTACCACTGTGGCAAATCGAAATGTTTTCACGCTATTCGTTGAACATATTTCTCAACCTATCGAAGCCTTAGTGGGGGATGAAATTTTAAAAAGTAAGTACTAATTGCTAACTTGCTGACTGATTATGATTAGTAATTTGGGAAAGTGAAGGGAGTCTGAATTCGTATACTTCATGATTCATGTGCTCTTTGTATTCGTGAGATATTTTAAAGATATCAACCGGTTTTATATCGAGAACCGTATTTCAAATTTCATAGTGTATACAATCATCCTCTCCTCGATACATCTGTCGTAGAGGTTATACCACAGGTTGACCTGAAACCATCACCTCAAAGTGTAAAAAGAAATACTAAGGCAGCACTGTTGCTGGCCAGGCGAATTAATGAAAGATATGGAGGCTGAAACCAGACATGATGTAGTGACTCTACACCATGGTGCATAATATGCATTCATGGTCACGTTGCTAAAAATGAAGCATTAAGCCACCAGAGAAACAGAGCAGAATGCAATCAAATCTACACTAACAGCAGCATAAGGGACACTCTTTAATCTTCCTCCTTTATATTTTGTGATAATGAAAGTCGTAATAAAAAGCCGATCAAGATTGGAGAATTCACCGAGTTGCAATGGATGGAACAAAACGAAATATCGAAATATGTGGAGGAAGGAAAATCTATCGTGTTCTCGGACAATATGACACCAAAATAAATATGTTCGTTATAAACTTTGCAGTAAAAGTCATGAACAAAAAAAAGAAGAGAATGAAGGTATCCTTAGAACATACTTGGCAAATACAGTTAGTATATAGACCGTCGAGAAAAGAACATGCAGGAAGCAAAAGTAATATTAAGATCAAGATCTGGAAAATCGTTAAGAAGTGAGAAAACTAGCGGATGGGAATATCTCAACTCTGTTCGTTACAACATGTTCGTTACAAATTTTGCAGTAAAAGTCATGAACCAAAAAAAGAAGAGAATGAAGGTATCCTTAGAACATACTTGGCAAATACAGTTAGTATATAGACCGTCGAGAAAAGAACATGCAGGAAGCAAAAGTAATATTAAGATTAAGATCTGGGAAAGTCGTTAAGAAATGAGAAAACTAGCGGATGGGAATAGATCAACTCTGTACCTGAAGAGTGCCAGCACACTCAGGTATCATAGACAACGATTATAAACTACATGTATAGGCTTCGAACCCTCTGTGGTATACCAAACATGAAGAGGTCTGGAAAAATATAAACACACAGGAAAACCTCTATAACAGGACTGTCCAAAAAAGGTACAGAAGAACTGCTTCAACAAAGCAGAGATTGGCTCAGAACGATAATAATGGAGCTAGTCCCTTGAAACTGTCCACCAAGATGATACCTGGACAAAATAACGGACACTTCAATTACAGACAATGCAATAGAGGAGCAGAAACAGCTCGTCATGTTCCATGCATATATAGGCACTAGATCACAACAGGCAAGTAATATATGGACAACCCACATTATGTCAATAAGAATATGACAAACATCGGATAAGTGATTTGTACAAACTACTAAAGGAAAGAAGATTGTTGAAGATTTGAATGAAGTGGACAAGCCAGAGGGCTCCCAAGAATAGCAGAAAATATACAATCATTTGTAAATAATGAGTGAAATTGTTGAATAAGTTACCGGAAAATTTGAATTGCTGATAATGAAATTACAACTCAAATCAATTGCGATTCATGATTCATGAAATACAGAAAAAATAGGAAAATTATCTGAGAGGTACGCTTTCTATTTCAAATATTTTGCCATAAAGATGAAATCGGATCTCAAAACCGTTGAGTTCATGATTCTGTACCAGACAGCGCTGTTTCGATCTGTCATAGATCTCATCGGTGGCCCTGTCCGGATCTTAGATGCAAAGTTCGAACTCTTTTTCTTCAAGAAAATGTAATTGGTAATACATTTTATGGTATGACGAAAGTTGAAGAGAATAATCACGCATGGTTCGATGAAAATGTAGATAGATTATTGATAGAGACATCAAAATATATATCTATATTCAATAATGGATCGTCAGAACAACTTTGCGTCATACATATCTCCACTGATAATCTGGATACATAATTAACTAGTTTCAATTTTTTTAACATTCCGGCAGAAAGTCTCATTTTCTCAATGTGTAACTTTCCTAAGAGAACACAGAGCCTATAGCACTCTGATCATTTCGGAAATTCATTTTTGGGAAAGAAAGTTTTTGGTTTTCTACTACTCAAGATGTATCAAGATGGAGTAGTAGAAAGCCAAAAACTTTCTTTCCCAACAATGTATAAGAAATAATGGTCAACATGTTTATTTGACGGGTAAAACATGATAACAGCATAAATAATTTTGATATGAAAACTTTCGGATAGATCACAGGTAAATGTACCTATGTTGAATATCATTAATAAGAGTGGTCATAGACAATGTTGACAATGTTACCTATAATTTTTTATTAGTTTATTAATTTAGATGTAAAAAAAATCCGCTATTTCATTTGGTTTTCACGATACATTCATCATTCATTTATTTTTTTGTGAATAACTTGTAATTATGGTAAAAAAAATAAAAGGTAAAACAGAAACTTCTGGCGTAGGATGAATCCCAAACAAGTATCTATTTTCCCAACTTACAGAACTGCAATACTCTCTCATAAAATAACTAAATTGAATAAAATTATGTTTAATTATATCAATTTTTAATTTGATAAAATTGATTGTTTTAGTTCCTTGTTGAAAATTATATTATTCAATACCGCTGTGCTGTGCAACTGAAATATTTCAAATGCCCTTCATAAATACAAAGGAGGTTGAAATAAGGCAATTCTTTTTTTCCATGAGATGAAAACAACTTACTGATTTACAATGTACAATGTAAAAAATATGTGGTGCTATATGCTGAGTTTGTTTTCAATCAACATGACTTACCTTTAAAGGTTGTTCACTCATTTTAACTGCAATTTAGTTGTCTGGGCTCCAAGCACCTCGATTTCCGATCAGTATCTGAAACGAAATGAAAAAATGAAAATACCAAATACATTGACGCAGCAAATTATAAATGCTTTGATGATACAAAAATTTGAGAGAGGTGGAAGATAGGTGAAATATAAAAAACATGAATTATCTCTGTTATCCGAAAAATTAACCAAAATGAAACGTACAAGCAGAACTTGACACTTCATATTTTTTAGTATATTCAAAGCTAGGAAAAAGGGAGAAAATGCGGTTTAAAAAAAATCTGTTTGAAATCTGTTAATCAGCTATCGCCCCCATACGAACGACAACTCTCAGAAGTTGAGAAACTAGTGCAAGCTAAGGAGTGACGAGGTCTTACCTTTTAACGTGTGATTCCTAACACGGTTAGTATAGTATAGAAAATGAGTCAATTTTGGTCCCGATAAAACAACCGTCATAAATATGAACAATTCGCAATTACTTCCAATATCCCAAGTTGGTGTCGAGGCTAAGAACAACACTTTTTAATCGAATTTCCCTAAGCTGCCGATGAACACGAGACTGGTACGCGACCCGGGTGAAGGCATCAGGGATGGGGCGGAGTCCCAAGGGGACCCGAGGTGTAAGGCGGAGTCCCAAGGAGGCCCACGCTCTTTGAATCCCTTCGATACCCATTCCATCCTTCTCTGCATCGATTATGTCACACGTTTCTCTCTCCCACTCCCACTCCGAAAAACACGTACCTCGAGTTTGGTGTTCCACAAGGTTCCAATCGGATGTCATGAAAATTGCAAAAAATTCAGCGCCATAAGAAAAACATGTGATTTTGTGCTCGTACATACATTTTTCATGTACTGTTTTGAATTTCCCGCTGTACGCGCAGTAGCTACTGATTGGTCGACTGGATGACGGCAAATGTGGAGGAGTGTGGGTTGTCTGAAGTGGGCTTTGAAGGTCTGAAGCCCAATTCACATAGAATGAACGTCTTGGAGAGACGACGTGTCCATTCTGCGTGAAACAGGTCTGAGGTCCAAAAATCGCCAGAATGGGCCTGCTCAAATTTGCAGGCCCATTCTGGCAAAACACCCTATATTTCATCATGCATTTCGATTTGTAATAACATTCTCAACAACAAAGCTCATATCACCTTCTACCTAAAGTTGGAAATGGGCGACTGGAAATATTCATTTCTTCCACTAGTTCAAAAAAATTTTTGTTTTGGCGAATAAAGAGCTATAAAATATCGAGTAAATATTCAAAAACACCGCCTTTCTGTTGAACACATATTTGGGCCCATCTCTTGACACTACGTGTTTCTTTCAGAACAATTCAACCAAACATTCTATAAATTATAGTTTCAAGATAATTTTTCAGTTCATCTACATCATTATGTTTCATTCTCTACACCTCATTTTCCAGAAATCCACAAAAATAAAAATTTAGAGGTGTCATGTCTTGTGAACGAGGATGCCACTTAACAGCACCATTTGTAGCAATCCATCTGTTTCCAAAACAGTCTCGCAACATTCTCTTTACGCAACTGAAATTATGTGCTGGTGGTCCATGCTGATGAAAATAGATCATCTGACGAGCCTCCAGATCAAGATCATTAAAAACTTTTCCAATATTCTCGATCATAAATTAATGTAATGAGGTCCGTTCAAAGAACCACGGTAGAAAAATGGACCGATTATTCTGCCTCTAAATAGACCACACCAAACCTCAATACTAAATCGTCTTTGAGGATTGTGGGGATGGACTAGAAATGGATTATGTCTACCCCAATCATGAAAATTCTTTCTATTATACATCCCACAATTCAGAAAATTACCCTCATCGCTCAATATGATATTTCTATAAAAGTTTGGATCTTGTCTACATTTATTCACAAACCCCCGACAAAACCCCAAACGTCTCTGTCATTGAGCTCTAGTGTTTGCACTTATAAGGAGAAATCTTATGTTTATTCAGAATTGGTTAAATAACAGACACGATAGAACAGCTATTTCTCTAGATAAATGATGGAATTATCTGGATTTACCTCAAAGTAGTTTTTTGTTCCCTTCTTCTCAAAAAGTTTTTTATTGTTCCTGAATCAATGATGAACCACAGCAAAAAACGCCGATTGAATAATTCACGATCGGAGAACGAATTGTTGTAGTGTTTTTACGCTACTTTTGTAGCAAATCAAGTAGGATTCTGATATATCACATTTTTCTTGACAGTTGACAGTTAAAATAGTTCATGACCTTGTCATGATATACTTGAGAATATTTGACAAACAATATTTCAACAAAGTTTCAAGGCAACTTGATTACTCATAATAATTCTGTTTTATCGAATAAAACACATTTTTTTCCAACCGAATTAATATAACGCTCTAGTATTTTCTGTTCTGTACAAAAACGGCTTCAATGTCATCATTATAGCAGACATATTTTGATTCACAAAATAAATAGAGCTAGTCGAATGTCTTTAAGATGGAAATTATCGTTTTGCAAATTAATACCAAATAGCTCAGTGGTGTCAAGTGAGTGGTACGACATGCTGTTAGTTGGGTGTTTGGACAAACATGGGGTTTTATTTGCCAGTGAGATGAATAAATATTTCAACTTAAATTGCTCATTGTTTTGTTTTCGGCATCGAGAAAGTCATCAAAAATGCTACTAGTTTGCCCATTCAACCAAATTCGTAGAATTTTATAAAAAATGTAAAACATTAAAACATATAATTTTCATCGTATCAATAGTAAAGAAATATTCGAATGTAAAACAAATCTTCAGAGTGAGATACAGATACCTGCACATTGTAATCATGATATCTGAAAACAAAAATAAATAATATAAAAAAGCCGTAACTTATCAGGTTTCAATTTCTGTATAAAGTATTTGAAAACCAAAACAAATAATTCAAAAGAATACTAGTATACTCATAACCTAACTCATCGGATATTAATTAGACGTCTCTGTATGGAGTATTTCCAAACACTCTGGAAATACCGGTATTTAGAAAGTGACAAAATTAACGGGCATTATTGCCCGTTACAGTGAAACAGTAAAGATGAACAGTGAAGATGAACTGCTCATTCGAACCGCCTCACTGGTGATAACTGTGAACAAGATTTTTTGTACAGTTTTGTCCCTCCTTTCCAAAAATACCTATGATACTTTATTGATTGTTATAGATATTTCACAATATAAAGTTTGGCATCAATTTCACCAATTGAAAATCCCAAATGCATTCTTTCGATGGACTATGTCACAAATTTGATAACTTGAGAGAATACACAATTGTGAAAAATTCTTAACTAGAACACGAAACTAGAAGAATATTTTGTACGTGAGTGATGTAGATATCAGAAACATTGTGAACGTGTTGAAAAGCAAAACTTATACCAAAGATTCTATCCTGAACTACCGGCAATGACTTTGCAAAAATTGTAGTTTATCAACAAGAACCAGCCTCAAGCTATTAAACGAGTTGCCACATAAACATTATTATTCGTTCATACACGAGATAATAGCAATTGTGCAATCTTCGAAAATATTTCATTATTGCAGGAAAAAAATGAATATTTTTATCACTTACATTCTAATGCGGTTAAAATCATCTTTAATAAAACATTCTTCTGAGAATTACTCGTCACGTTTTAGTTATGCATGTAGAAATATATGTACGTCCCATTTCATCGTTTTTAAAATTTTATCAATAGCTGAAATTTACTAATCATGAGTAAAATAAAAACAGGAAAAAAATAGTTTCAGCAATATTTGCGATATACGTGAAAATGAAAAGTACAAGTTAATAAACATTTTGTCTAAATCAAATATTAAGAACTACTGTGTATTTATGTTAAATCTAAGTTCTCACGGATAGGAAAATGCTGAACTGGTTTCCGGGTTTTGATCCGTGTTATGTGCTGTTACCTTCAATCTCACGACATTTCGACAAAGTCTCATTTGTCTTCATCTGGCGATTCCTGTTGAGTGTTCCGAAGTCGACTGACCTACTCGATCGGCTCCCAACAATATAGGTAAAATGATGTTTGTTATGTGTTCGGAAGTAGACTGTCCTTACACGGATCGAGTAAGGTCGGCCGACTCCCAAACAATTAACAGAAATCGCCAGATGATGACAAATAATATTTTGTCGAAACGTCGTGAGATTCAAGATAATAGCACATAACACGGATCCAAACTCGGAAACCAGTTCAGCATATTCCTATCCATGAGAACTTTAGATTTAACATTTCAAACCTTTACGGGAAGAAAAGGTTAATTAAGAAGAACTCAGGTAAAAACCAACAACCATATTTATATAGTAGGAAGCAGAGCGTGTAAGGACAGTCTACTTCCCGAACAAATAACAAACATCATTTCACCTATATAGTAGGGAGCGGATCGAGTAAGGTCGGCCGACTTCCGAACACTTAATAGAAATCGCCTGATGATGACAAATGAGACTTTGTAGAAACATCGTGAGATTGTAGATAATAGCACATAACACGAATCAAAATCCGGAAACCAGTTCAGCATATTTTTATCCGTGATAACTTTAGATTTAACATATATACACTGTGTTCAAGATAAGAATGAACGGCATGGGGATATCGGAAACAGTTAGTGATACAGGGTCGATTGAATTAGAGAAAAGTAGCGCATTTACATGCCTGCTAATATGCCATTCAGAAAGTTTTGATATTCCGAGCAGTTTCGGAGATATCCAAGACCACCGAAATTTGAGAATTTGGTTTTAATTTTCTCCTGGCTACATTTTCAAAGGAAATGTAAAATAAATAGCACTTTTTCATAATTTCTTGTTCTGACCTTTACAGTGCTGCCAATGAGATCTCACAGAACTATGAAATGATATCTAGCAGAGAGTGAAGGTAAAGAGTTTTCTTTACGGAATTATTATCTTTATCAAATTTATTATCTTTATTCAAACAAAGGAGATAAGTATAAATCAGTCTGAGACTTTCAATGTCTGTCCTGGAATTGATATTATTTTAATTTTCAAATATATGATACATTTCTAACATGACTTAGATCATAG